ACGGAATCCAAAAATTTTTTCGCAGAACTATTTCAAATAACAAGTACAATCGTTTTAGCGAAAAAAAAATTTTTGGGGTTAGGTGCACTTTAACTGTTGCCTTCCAAGTCTCTCCGCTAGTAATGTACACGTTACGTTGCACATGTCATGTTTGGCGTCACTTGCAGCGTCAGCCATCCATATATCATAGCTTCCGCAATACCGCGAGTAACTGAGATATATAGTTGAGTACTGCAGTTTTAATAATAAATAAACAGTAGTATAGCTGAAAGTGGAAAGAAAAAAAAAACCTTGCATACGGCTGGCGCGTCTGCAATTTGAATTGACCAATCAGAATTCAGAAAAACTGGTTCAGAAACTGTGCTATCCTAACGTTTATATATGTTAACAGGAAAAATGTTGCAATCGGGCAACTGTAGACGGCACGGAATATTTCATGATAAAAGGGGGCATTGTAACACACGTGTAAGGATTGATTGATTTGGTTATTGATTGATTGATTGATTTTTTTTTTTTTAATTCTCTTCGAATTGTCAGAACTTGTCCAGTTCAACTGCGTTTCTCTTCTCACTGGTGAATAAGCTAGGTTGGGGTCCAGTAATAGTTACACCACTGGGGGATCGTGATTCTTACCAACTTGCCATGTATGATTGCTCTGATCTAAACTTTAAAGCTCTTTTGCTTTGTTCTTGCGACTCATCAGTAATAATTGTTTATCGAGTTGAGGAAGTAATTGATTTGGTAAATGTAAACAATATATAGATTTGTAAATCACAGGCTTTGAGACGGCTGGTTACAGTGAAATTAAATAAAATAAGGCCTGGGATAGGGCACCGCGAGCTGTGCATATATGTTTGATACAGTATGAATTCGAACTTTATAGAATTAAATTATTGAACATCACTTGATTCAATGATTAATCTTGAGCTGCTCAAGGGCTACGCATGTTTCAGCTGCTTCTTTAGAGAGTAGGAAAACTTACTCGGGCAGAGGTGCTCCCTTATAAGGCCTATGTTGATTTAAGGGTGTGGTCTGAAATAGGGAAGGCCACATCGCAGCTTTTGACCCTGTTAAATATCCATTTGAGTTAAACCCAATGGCTTTGAACCCATTTTCTAAATCGACACAAACCCTTTCAGAAGAGCGGTTCTTTCTCGAA